TAAATTCTTTGTTTTAAACTTTATGGCTGATGTTGTCCACTTCTATGTAAGGCTGTTGGGTCGGATGTGATGAGGTTTATGTTAAGCTCTTCCTGAACTGCTGGTTCTGATGAGACCGGATGAAAATAAAATAAAATAAAAATCCTTAACTGTGGAAGCTGCTGACGTTTGTCACCTGCTTTCCGCCAAATGATCCTCATCCTGACCGCCGGTTTTCATCACCAATAAATATCAGATGTTTTCATAGTTATATGACCCTCAGTGGAACCGATCCAAAAGGCTCCAAATAAAAACTCCTTATCTCAATGGTATTGCTTTTTCTATGAAATATGAAAATGTTGGAACAAAATTCTGAATCGATGTCGCCCGTCCTCCTGGGTTTCAAAAGTTACACAGTTAAAAATGAATAGCAGTTTTCACCATCTGGTTCATTCATTTATAAATATCAGTTTCAATGTAAATATTTGGCTTCAAACTAAATAAATAGATAAGTAAATATTTACCTCTGAACTAAATATTTAGTTTGCTAACTAAAAGTTTGAGGCTTCAAACAAATTATTTAGCAGAGTTAAATATTTAGTTACCAAGCTAAAAAATTAAGTGACATGAAGTTTCTGTCTGCATGTTGGTACTCGTGATTAAATATTCATAAACAATGTTAATCCTGTGTTCCTGGACAGATTGATGGTAAGTATCATTTCACACAGACTGGGAATTGGTCTTTTTTAAGGCACTTGAATATATTGTTTTGTGTGAGCAGTTTGAGTCACAGAATATAAAAAAGCACAAAAAAGAGTTTAGATGCATAAAACCGAAGCCTCAATGGTAAGAGACTCACGTATGTGCCAGTGTGCGAATCTAAAATTTAAAAACTTTCTAAGCTCATTAGCATACTTTTAAAGGTTAAATTTGGATCCAAAGTCACACCTGCAAAGACAAATTCATCCTTATTTTATTTTCCACCTATTTGGGGAAAAATAACAACCTGCATTTAATGTAAGACTAGAACTCTGCATAATATCAGCAAACGTCTTCAGTGAATGATGGAGGTGTCCAGATTTGCAACACCATTGTAAAATTACACAGTGAAAAATTAACGGCATTTTGGATATTTAGTCTGACATAAGAGGAAAAGTAATTACTGTACTCTGACTGAGCTGTAAGACCTGGAGTTTCCGCTAGAGGCGCTGCAGCAGGTCTGGACTGGGCACCGGAAGTTAATCCAGAGCCAACGCAAGGCGCCATCAGCTAGTTAGCTGTGAACATGTCCGGCATGTCTTCAGCCCAGCATCTCAGAGAGTTCATCAGCGAGCGGCTGACTGCCGCCGCGGAGGAAATCTTCTCGGTCTTCCAGAGAACCATCGCCCAGTACGAGGAAGAGCTGGACCGCCAGCGCAGACTGCTGGACGGCGGCTGGAGGCCGGAGGTTCGGCTGGACCGGACAGGTGAGGACGAACCTGTTGCTTAGACCCGTTTTAAGATGATCCAGAGCAGAACCAGAACAGGTGGGGTTCGGACATGTCCTGGTTGTTCATATGAATCTGAGAGATAAAACCAGAGTTGGATGAAGCAGCAAAGATGGGACGAAAGTAACAGTAATTCTATTTATACTGCAGAAAGAGTAAAAAAGTATTGAGTACAAGAAAAAAACCTAATAAAGTTATAAGTAATTTAGCGGACTATCTGATTTAATATTGAGAAATTAGGTTATTTCCTCATGGTGTCCTTAAGGAGGACCAGAGGGGGCTGCGGCCCACGGCTCATCTTTTATTTATTTATTTGTTCATTTCATTCATTTAATTTAAAATGAAAATGTAAAATAACAAAGAAATGAAGGAATAGTTTGAGGAAAAAACATCTTTTATCGTTTACCCCTTTTCTCAAAAGCCAGTTTACTACATTGTAAGCAACTAGCATCAAGCATCCATGCAGATACATCGACATACACAAAACAGGCAGTGTGTATCTTCAAAGATGAAAATAACATTATCTTTGTGATGATAAAATATCAATCAAACTGAAAAGTAGGTTTTCAGTTTGACTGAAACTAGTCTTAAAAGTAAATATAACTAGTTAAAATGGAGCAGATAAAGCCATAGGCGTAGGAACTGGGGGGCATAAGGGGGGCGTTTCCCCTCAATGATGAACTCGTTCCGACACCCTTGGATAAAACCATAATCGGTCTAATTTTCTACTTCTGAGTGGACCTGCATAATTAAAACTCTACTCGTTCTCTAAATGCCGCCTGTGAAACATTTTACTCGGTTTCTAAAAATTCAAAATGTTTTGATTTGTTTTTGCATCTTAGATAAAGTCCAGGTCAAACATGGACAGAATTTTTCTCTCTGTCAACAACAAGATCTGACAAAATAACTCGGAAGAGTTTATTTATTTCAATTGTTTTGCTTTTCCACATAAAATTAAAGTATTTTCATTTTTAGTTGTCTTTGTTTTGTTTCTCCCTGCAGAACTTCCTGTTCAGTTCCTGAGGAAGGAGGAAGAGGAAGTTCCTGCTGACCAGCAGCTCTGGAAGTCCAGTCCGGACCGGGAGGAACCAGAATCTTCCCGGGTCAAAGAGGAAGATGATGCTCTCTGCTTCGTCCGTGATGAAGAGCCGCCGGTTCTGAAGCCGAACGCTGATATCACCATGGTAACGTCTGCTGATAGCGAGCCAGAACCCAGCAGGGACCGGAGCGTGTCCGAGTCGGAGACCCGAGAACCGGCAGGAAGCTGGAGTGACAACTCGGACTCGGCCAGAGATCGGACCGGGTTCTGGAGCAGCCACCAGGAAGGTCAGGAACCAGACGCTCTGACTCCAAACAGTGGCCTGCTCGGCGCTGCTGCCGCCGGGGTCAGAGGTCAGGACGGAACCTGGATCGAGAAGGAGTTGGAGCCGAAGAGGAGACGGGTCAGGAAGAGGAGCAGCGGTTCCGGCCTGGTTCCGGGTGGACTGGGGCTGCGGCCCGTTTCCTGTGACGTCTGCGGGAAAGCCTTCAGGTGCAACTCGGAGATGAGGGTCCACTTGCGCGTTCACACGGGCGAGAAACCGTTCTCCTGCGACGTCTGCCAGAAGGCGTTCAGCTTCAAGGTCAACTTGTCCGTCCACATGCGGACGCACACGGGAGAGAAACCGTACGCTTGCCAGTTCTGCGAGAAACGCTTCTCGGATCACTCATCACTCCGGAAGCACACCAACGTTCACACAGGAGAGAGGCCGTACTCCTGCGCCGTCTGCGGAAAGCGCTTTAGCCGCAGTAGCCACATGTGGCGGCATGTCAGGGTCCACGCCGGAGAGGCTCCGCCCACCTGAGGCTCCGCCCACCCCAGGGACAGCTGCAGGTGAAGGCCTGACCCAGTCAGTAGGTTCGGTCCAGGTCCATAACTTTGATTTGTTTTTATTATGTTTTTGTTGAAGCAGCGACTGGACGAGTCGTTCTGGATTTTACAGCTAAGATCAGAAGTTTACAACAGCCAATAAAAACCAAAAAAAAAAAAACACGTCCACCATTTTTATCTCTACTCTTGTTTCAGAATCACTGAAATTATTTCTGTTTGCTGAACGACTCAATTAAGAGAAAAAAAGTTTTATGGATTGAGCTTAACGCGTTCATGTTGATTAGTTAATTACATAGATTTTAACGCATTAAAATTTGAACACAGTTAATCACTTTTTTGTTTTTGTTAAATATAAAGGTTCAGGCTGGAACCTTCGTATTCGCATGTTTCCGGTACAACTGTAAATCATGAAACGGGAAAACCATCCAGGTTAGCGGGAATGGAAACCAACGATGAGCTTCAAGGCCAGGCCAAGGAAATTCAATTATGACAATGAAGTTATAACGCTACAAAAATAATCGCACCATTACCTGAATAAAGTAATGAGATGAAAATAAAGTTACAATATTATGAGAATAAAGTCTGAAAATTTGCTATTTTATATCTGTGGGATTTTTTTTTTCTTTTAGTCTGAAGTACCAGTATTTTCACCTATTTTTATATTTTTCTCTGACATCATTTTAAATGTCCTCACCTCCCTAAAGAAATGGCGTAAATCATTTTTTGCCAAAATGATTTTTTTTTTCTTTGGCAAAGAAAATTATTTATACCATTTTTTTTTAGGAAGGTGACAATATTAAATCCGATGTTATAACAGCTTACATATAGTACTTGAGTTGCATTTTTAATAAAATACTTTTTTTTTGCCTTATTTTAGTCATTTCATGTGGAAGCAGAATAACAAAATTTATATACAACTAACTGATCATATGATCAATCATTTAATATTGAAAAATTATATAATGAGATGAATGAAAATATAAAGTTAAGTGGAAATTTGGGTATTTTAAGAGGGAAAGTGACAATGGTTCTTCTAAGTAACTAAAATAAAATCAATTTCCAAATTCATCCACCCATCCATTTTCTATACACCCTTGTCCCAAGTGGGTCAGGAGGTGCTGGTCCATATCTCCAGCTAACATTCTGGGCAAGAGGCGGGGTCACCCTGGACAGGTCGCCAATCTGTTGCAGCAGTTTCCAAATCAGTTTCTTTCAATATAAACCTTATGAAACTTTAACAAAAACTGCAGGTGTGTCTGTCTGGTGAACGTTTGGTTAAAAATGTTTGTTTTTCATTAACTGGGTAGAGAATCCAGACATTTTATTCAAGAGTAGAGATACTTCATAGTGAAACTACTCAAGTAAAAGTAAAAAACACAGCATAGTAAAGTAAATTTTTTCCAAAAATGTACTCAGGTAAATGTAATTTACTGTTGTTTGTGTAGACTTTTCTTCCTAGTGATTATTATTGGCCATAAAATTAAAATGCTATTTATCTGCGCCGCATGTTTTGGTGATGTTCTCATTTATTGATGGGAAAACATTTTGTGTTGGAAGTTCTGAAGATGTACATCCTGCATCCCGCCGGTAGAGGGAGGTGTTGGCAGCCCCGCCCTCATGTGACACCCAGGCGGATGTAAACAGCAGCCCGCTGCTTCGTGCTGCAGTGTGAGTGTTAGCTGTGAACATGTCCGGCATGTCTTCAGCCCAGCATCTCAGAGAGTTCATCAGCCAGCGGCTGACTGCCGCCGCGGAGGAAATCTTCTCGGTCTTCCAGAGAACCATCGCCCAGTACGAGGAAGAGCTGGACCGCCAGCGCAGACTGCTGGACGGCGGCTGGAGGCCGGACTGCGGCTTCCAGAGAGCAGGTCAGGAGGTCCGCGGAGCTGGTTCCGACCCGGTCCACGAGGCTCGGATCTGAGCTTCATGGTCCGTCTGTCAGGCTAACGGGGATTGTTGTTCCTCTGCGTCAGAACAGCAGGCCTGAATCCGGCCTCCATCTTTACTCTGACCGCAGAATCAGGGGGTCACCAGCTGATCCACAACACCAGCTCCCTCACTCGGTGCCCAGGTGACCCGGTGGACAGCTGCTGGCAGAACATCCCGGCACTCTACTGAGACAATCAGAACCGACTTATGGCTTTAAATAAAATATGGCTTAAAATAAAATTTACTATTTTTTCATGCCAGATCCGATTAAAAACTATAAATTAGATGACAAAAAATATTTTAAAAATTGACTTTTATTTCAGTCATTTTTCTGAGTTGTACAATGGAGTATCAGGGACAGGCTATGAGAATTGATGTTTTATTAAAGAATATAGTGATAATATCAGCAGAATAAAGACACATTTTTACCTGAAAACGTCCTAAAATTCTGAGTAAAAAGTCGCTTTGATATGAGCAGCTCACTGTTAAAAGATGAAATATTTTCTTGTTTGTAAAATCGATGCTTCATTTAATTTATTTATTTTTCCAGTTGGAGTTCTCATAAAATTATTACTTTATTATTATTATTATTATTATTATTAAAATTATTCTTGTACTACTATTGTATTCTTGTAATATTGTGATTGTAATGCTTTATTCTTGTTTTATTACAAATGTATTCTGGTAATATTAATGCTTTATTTTTGTATTATGACTATTTTGGTCATATTAGCGCTTTATTTACATATTACAATTCTATTCTTATAATATTATGACTTAATTCTTGCAATAAAAAATAAATGAATCTTAATCTGGCTGTAATATTCCATTGTGAAGCAATAAAATCACAATAAAATAAAAACAGTTTTTTTATATGATGTATGAAAGTGTCTGCATGTGAAACTCTCCAGTCTGGTTTTCTTGCCGTTTTTCTTCCAATGATCCAGATTTTCCTCAGATTTTGTAACATGATCCAGATCAATAGTCCTGAAACTCTCAGCTGATCAGCAAACATCAGCAGGTCTGATCATATTTCTGGATAATCAATCAGCTCATTGATATCGGCTCAGATTCAGCTGGATCCCACGTGTTTATGGAGCCATTTATTAGTTCATTTGTGCCTTTATGATGTTAGTGATAAAAAAGCTGTTTCATAAAAATATAACAATTTTATACCTAAATATTACAAAATAAAATCAAAGTTAAACAGAAGCAATAAAAGGTGTACATTTACCAAAAAAACAAAACAACTATGAACTATAATTTATTTTATTTCATTCTCTCAAATGTTTACACACCTATTAAAACTCCAGAGCTTTTAGACAAACCTATATTAAGGTTTCAAATTATTCAACCTAATATGAAATTTAATTAATTGGAAAAAAGCAAAAGATCTTAATAAAAGGTGTTAAAGAATTTGGGTTCCAGTTACCAGTGGACCAAAACAGAGTGTTGCCACTGTAATTATTAATGTTTTAAAAGCTTCCTTTCTTCCATCAGACCTGCTGCGACAGTATTTGTGCAAAAAGCCAGAGATTCCTGCCGCACCGCAGCTTTTGCACCAGCAGGGGGCGTCGGCGCTGACCCGGCAGCAGCCAGAACCTCCGGAGCTTAAAGGTCATGAGAGAGCAGAGAGTTTCCTCATCAGAGCTGAACGGAGGGGCCTGGAGGAGCAGCTGGTTCTGAAGCAGGAGCTGGACGCCTTCACGGCGCCTCACCCAGACGGATGCCGCAGGGCTCCAGAACCGAAACACAAGTTTCCTCTGGAAGGAAGAGAGCAGATCAGAACCAGAAACCCGGCCAGCAGCAGAGAGCGTGGCTCCACCTCAGAGAACCGAGACCAAACCCAGAAATCAGAACCAACCTTCCAGCAGAACGCAGAAACAGGTGAGAAGCTTCAATCTGTGAGAAGGTTCACCTGCAGCTGAGGAGGATGACCAGTAGGGGGAGCCAGTGGCTTCGAACAGCTCAGTGAGGTTCAGCGGATCAGACGGTCAGGATCTCCACCACTTCCTGCACCAAGAACAGCCAATCTGCAGGTTTTCTACAGGTGAACTGTAGGTGGAGCTCAAACATTCTGCTCATGTCTGCAGAACTGCTTGAAGGGCCAGTAGCACGTAAAATCAGCATTTTTGATCTTTCCATCATGTTATAAAGTTTTTCCCTCGTTAAAAACATTTCTGCAGTGTTGCTTTGATTCTTTCATGTTTGAGAAATCCTTTAATCTCCATGGCAACCATTCAGCTGCAAACTCCTGGGTCGACCTAGTCCTGCCTTCCAGTAGCAGCTCGTCCACCACTCAGCTCCTTCAGACTAGCCAGCAGCAATTAGCAAATGCCTGGTGGAGCTGCTGCTCAGAGCAGCGCTGGTAAAAATGATGAAGGGTTAATAGATGAGCCAGACATTTAATCAGTTTCTTTGTTTTTCTCCTGCAGATGCTCCACAGCGTTGTGTCTCCATGGAGGCGGAGCCTCCTGCAGACCGGAAGGAGCAACAGGAAGCAGAACCTCCACAGATTAAAGAGGAGCAGGACGAGCAGCTGGTGCTGAAGGAGGAGATTGACTCCTTCACCGTGACGTCGGCTTATGAGGAAAGCGACCAAAGTGAAGCTGAAGGAAACGCCGAGCAGAACGTTTTCCTCAGTTTCCAGGAGGGAAGCTGGGAGCGAGAGCCCGGATCAGCAAGCACAACTGACCCGATGCCACGTCTTAAACTCATGAGTTACAGTTACAACCCGAGCGCTGAGAATCCGAGCAGCGCCGGGACCAGCGACGGACCCTCAGGATGTCAGCTCTGTGGGAAAAACTTTGGCAGCGACTCAGAATTAAAGGAACATTTTAAAATCCACGTGGTGGAGAAGCCGTTTTCCTGCAATGTGTGTGGAAAAGCTTTCAAATACAACATCAAGCTGCTGATCCACATGAGGACGCACACTGGGGAGAAACCATTTTCCTGCGAAATCTGCGGTAAAGGCTTCAGCCAGAAGGTCAATCTGAACGTCCACATGAGGACGCACACGGGTGAAAAGCCGTATCTCTGCAAGACCTGTGGAAAGAGGTTCTCTGACCAGTCTGGCTTTAAACGCCACATGACCATCCACACGGGCGAGAGGCCCTACATCTGCAAAACCTGCAACAAAGCCTTCAGGTACAGCGTCCACCTCATGGTCCACATGCGAACGCACACGGACGAGCGGCCATACTTCTGTAAAACCTGCGGCAGAACCTTCTCCGACCCGTCTACACTCCGGAAGCACACCATGACCCACACGGGCGAGAGATCCTACTCCTGCCAGACCTGCGGGAAGAGCTTCAGTGACAACAGCAACCTGCTGCGGCACATGAGGACGCACACGGGCGAGAAGCCGTATTCCTGCGAGATCTGCAGCAAAAGCTTCAGCCAGAGCAGCAACCTGATGCAGCACATCCGCACCCACACGGGCGAGCGACCGTACCCCTGCGGCATCTGCGACAAGAGCTACAGCCACAGCTGCACGCTGCTCAAACACATGAGGAGCCATTCGGGCGAAAAGCCGTACTCCTGCGAGCTCTGCGGCAGATGTTTCAGTCACAAATGCACGCTGCTGAAGCACATGAAGATCCACACGGACGGCGGCGCTGTGCAGTCCTGAAAGCCCTGAAAGCATCAGGTCAAGAGGCGAGCTGGTCGGTTAGTCTGCTCACATCCTTTAAATGTTCCTTTTCATAAATGAACTTTATCATCTCTGGGACAAAAACTGAAATGATTTGTTGATTTTCTGTGGGGCTGCAAATGAAGCAAAACATGTTCAAAAGAAGAAAAACCGACGACTCAAATGCTGGTTCTCCTCACTGCCAGCACCAACATCACACATACGCAGAAAAATATTAAGAATATTTGTATATTGCAATTTGTACGATGCTTTTTCAAGTCTGAGGATTCCGAAGGACATTCAGTGATTCACCACTGATGGTTGCAGACTGACAGAGGGGTGAGGCAGCCCACCAGAGCGGGGTTCGAACCAGCAACAGTCAGCAGTCACTGTTAGGCCCAGGCTAACAACAAACATTTAATTATGAGAATAAATTCACAAAGTTACGAGAAAAAAGTCATAGTGTTACAAGAATAAAGTTGTAAAAATACAATAATAAAGTCAAGTTACAAGAATAAAGTCATAATAATATGAAAATAATGTAATTTACCAAATTTAAGTTGTAATAATACGAGAATTTTGTGAATTTCTTCTCGTAATTTAAAAATAACTTTCTTTTAGTCTGACCTGAACAATGTTGCTCCTGTTTTATGTTAATTCTGACTTTTTTTTGGCAACCCTCAGTTTTGTAGTCTTCTACAGTACAATAATCATCAGCCTAAACTGGCCTTCCTCAGGCTGATCTTCATCATCATCATTGTCGTCGTCAGACTGGTGGTTAGCTGTAGCATCTTCACCTCAGCTGTTTGCTGCTCCACATTTACAGACATTTTTTAAAAAGTGATATAACAAGCTAAAGACAACCAAATATGTTTTAGTGGGATGTTTTTAAAGAGTAGATGTTAATATAACACACCTGGGCGGTGGTGAGAAACCCCACAGCTGCAGGTTGGACCAAGAAAACTGTTTTATTGCTGAAAGTCCGATTCACTGTGAGCAGAGATGAATAGCTTTAACTTCCTGCTGTGATCTGAATGATTGTGAGGATAATTAGTCTACAGGTTGGGCTGATTTGATTGGGATTGTTTAAGAATAGTAAAATATCGTCAACATAGTGACACATCTGTTGAATGCTCTGGTTTGGATTTCTTCTGTGTGACTCAGTGATGTGAGCGAGTTACAAGGTGGTGAAGAAACGTGGGTTTAAAGGCCCAGTCCTGTTGGCTGGTAAACCTCTAAACGTCAGCTTCAGGTGGTTTCTACGTCACCATGGTGAGGTTTTTACGTTGTGTTGTCTAAAAGGATTTAAATCAGACAGAACGGCGTGAAGGTGCCGGGTCAGGCAGAATGGCGCTGGCCTCACTGATTTCTACTCAGATCAAACATCTGAAGGATTAAAGATGATGGAGCTCAGAGTTTTTCCCTTCAGGTTGATCGTTTTTAACGTCTGCAGTTTGAGTATTGGATGTTCAGTAACTCACAGTTAGAGCTTGAGGATCTGCAGGCTGAGAACAAACAGGATGATTGAGTGCATATAGATCTACGTACATTAAACTGGTTTGTTGTATGAAACCAGTCAGGCCTGAACCATCAGAACCTGCTGACCACAGCCTGGTTCTGACCTGTGATCCTTCTGTAAGTCAGCTTTCAGAGCTCCCTGTGTGATGCTTTAACACTGAAATTGAAATATTTCTTGTTCAGTGCCTTGACCTCCTGGAGACCCTTGGACATCGGATGACCCAGACGCACGTGACCCCAGACGCACGTGACCCCAGACGCACGTGACTCCGCCTCCTCTTATTGGCAGGTTCGCCTGTTCACTCATGTTCTCTGTGGAACATGTTATTATTTGCTTTTTTTTCAGAGTATATCTAAAGAAAATGCAGCCTGGGAAGCTGAGATACCTCAGCGTCACTGAACTCACTAATGGTTGGTGCTGCAAAGCAGCCAATTGATTCAGCTTGGATCTGACTGGCTGAACCCCTAAAGAAGATCATGACTGTAGTAGAGCTAAGATGGTTTCCAAAGTGTGTAATAGTGCATATTGAGGTGAATTTGAAGGAGTCATGTGGTCTGGTTTAGGTTGTGAAGCGGGCGGCAGCAGCAGCTTCACCTGGAAGAGGAGCAGCGAAGCGCAGAAGCTCTGAACGATGAAAACTTTCAGTGGGATGGAGCCCAGAGGCCGCAGAGGCTGGTCGATGTTCTGAGGTGCCTCCGCTCCTCTGGGTCCGACCCGCCGCAGAGCGCCGGAGCTGATTGGACGAGCCAGCCCAATCAGCTGGCTCATCCAAGCTGATTGGTCGAGCTGCAGGATAGCAGCTTCTTCTAGACTTCAGTGAGCAAATTTAAATTCAAAAATACTTTATTAATCCCAAAGGGAAATGAAGTGTTGCTGTAACTCATTAATTTGGATTCTTGAAGCAGTTATTGAAGATGGTGGGAAATATATCCTGCAGCAGTCTGTAGTGCACTGAATCTGAAGAAGCCTCTGATTTAAGTAATGATCATCCTGAAACTTTGCTTCATTTAAATCAACTTATTTAGATAAAAATGATTTTTGTTCGAATCCTAACAGGATGCTTCATGTAGTTTAAATTATTTTTATTTGTGCTTTATTGTTTTAAACTCTTGCAGTTTTGGGTTTGACCTGCAGGAAACAAGATTAAACAACAAACATCACTAAATATTTTCCTTATGGTCCTTATAATTACCTGATATTTACTACAGTCCAAATAGCTTGTAGTGATTTTGCTAAATTTGTGACTTATTGTTCTATTAATGAAGTTTATTATTCTATGACTTTATTAATATAATTGTTATATTTATGTACTCTGCCAAACATTTCCAGGGACTTTATTCTTTCTGAGGATTCCCAGGTTCAACTCAGAGTTTTAATGAAAGCTTTAAGCGCCACCTAGTGGATGCTTTTAAATGTTCAGACTGACTGAAGGACAGGCTTTAGGGGGCTGCAGCATGGAGCGGTCGGTAGCCCTGCAGCAAGAAGGTTGTGGGTTTGAATCCCAGCCTGGGGTCTTCCTGTTTGCATGTTCTCACCGTTCATTCAGGAGTTCGGCTCCAAATGTGGCCCTTGTGTGGCCCCCAACTGCAATTCAAAAATTATACAAATTTGGCCCGTTGATGCAGATGGGAGATTTTAATTTGTAATTTTCTTACAATGGAAATTTTAAAGTATAACACAAATTTAGTCTTTTTATAACTAATATTTAACAAAAGATAAAACCATGTTTATTTAAAGACTTTTACTGAAATTATTTACCAAAATCAGCTTTTATTTAATCTATTAAATGTTAGTAAATATAACAAATGTTTTGAAAGGAAGCAGTCCAGTTATTACTGAAAATAAATAAATTGGTTCAACGGAGCAGAAAAGAAACTGAAAACTAGATGCTTTTCTTTTAATACAGCAAACATGCAAAATTTACAAAGGCGCATTTTCACCATTTTAGATAGAAAATAAAAAACAGCAGTAAATTTCCAAAATAAAACTCAGAAATGTTGAAAGTAAAATATTCTACAATAAACTTGGAAATTCCTGAGTTTCAAATGTTGGAAATTTTCAACTTTTGAAACTTTTTTGACATTTTTTCTAGAAAATTTCTGAGACAAATCTCAATTTATGAGTTTTTGGTGGAAATTAACTATTTTTATTATTTTATTTTTTACCTACGACAGCCCTAATATCCTATCATAAAAATCACATTCAGGTTTTGGAACTACAATAAATATCCATTAAAAAAAAATCTGTTTTTTTTATTTTCCTGATTTAAGTTTTTTTTTATTGTCCCACGTGACAAAATGTTTGGACACCCAGTTTAGATCATCGCTGTTTGTTTTCCGTCTCGTCCTGTTATCCTGAACCTAACCATAACGACGCTAACAGGAACTCGGGTGAACCCTTTGAACTCTGACCTCTGGAGTCTGTAAACTCCTGTGAAAGTAGAAATAGGTGAATCAGTAAATGCTGCCGTTCAAAGTCTGGGAGGTTTTCCTTCAGCTGTTTGTATGAATTAATGTTTCTGGTCAAAGTGATGACAAAATCAGATGAAGAAAACAGAAAAACGATTTCATCTGAGGACAAATCCAGCCAAACCAACGGGTCTGCAGCAGCAGCAGGACTGAGGATGTGAAGAATCTCAAGTGTTTCGGCTGTTTTGCAGTTTTCTGGAAGTTTCTTCCAGATTTGTGGTGCATAGAAGCTGAATGCTGCTTCTCCACGTTGGGTTTTTATTTGTGAGAGGAGGCCAAGTTTAGCAGGCCAACATGGATTAGTGCACAGCTGGTTTATCTTTCTGATGAATTCTTGTATTTTGTTCTTTTATTTTGTTTTTATTTCTCTGTACAGTGCTTTGGCCCACTGTAGTTGTTACAATGTTCTTTATAAATAAACCTGGGTTGGTTGGTTATTATTTATTGGGATGTATTTGTGAACAAAAATTAAACTATACAGCCATGAAAACTGATTTTTTTTTTTGCACTAATACAAAGTAAACTTCCCAATTAAATCTAAAATAAACTACTTTAATCTTTTTATCTATGTAGAGACTATTACATTTAATGACCTTCTCATTCTTAATTAATAAGCAAATGTTGAAATTCTACCTCTACGCAGCTTATCCCTTGGGAAATCTCATGATGAGTTACAGCATTTATTTAATTAGTGCTTCCGGCTTTGTCCAAATTCTACGGAAGAGGATTAGGGCCACTGAAAAAAAAAAAAATCGGACTTTTTTCTCAGAATTCTGACATTAAAGTCAGAATTCTGAGAAAAAAGTCAGAATTCTGAGATTAAAGTCAGAACTATTTTATTTTTTTCAGTGGCCCTAATCCTCTTCCGTAGAATTTGGACGAAACCTGAAAAAGAAAGGAGGTAGTTTGTTTCATGGACTTCGCGGCGTTTTCAGCTGGAATATTTGAGAGCAGCAGTTGGCTGCTCCACCAGGAGGGGGCGGTGATGTAACCGAACAATCCAAACTGTTCAAGAAGAAGCCAGCGGCGCCATTGTTGTGCTGCAGTGTGAGTGTTAGCTGTGAACATGTCCGGCATGTCTTCAGCCCAGCATCTCAGAGAGTTCATCAGCGAGCGGCTGACTGCCGCCGCGGAGGAAATCTTCTCGGTCTTCCAGAGAACCATCGCCCAGTACGAGGAAGAGCTGGACCGCCAGCGCAGACTGCTGGACGGCGGCTGGAGACTAGAGGTTCGGCTGGAAAGGACAGGTGAGGGGTTCTGGGAATCGCATGCCCTGTCGCGGGAGCGCGCATCGCTCTAAACTCGCATATTGATGAGAAAACGGACTGAAATATGACCAAAGAGGAAACTTTTAAAGATATTCGTAACATTGTCATGGTTATTAACCATGTCAGGCCTAAAACGGTGGGTTTTATTTTTCAGATTAATTGAAATAAATACGGATTTTACACCTTTACACGAGTCGGACATTTTACAGTGTCTGATGAAAATG